TGTTGTTCATAGTGGATCATACTTGACTCAATGGCACCTAACAACATAAACCCTTAGTGACCTGACAGAACAGAATAGAATTGCCCATAACTTTTCCAAAGCTACAATCTTTATGAAAGCGGACCTCCAGATCCTTTCTCCTAAAGAAACAGTGGATTTGAACAGCAATCTTTTGGGTAAGCAGCTAAATGCTTAACAGTTGTGTTGAGTAACTCAGTAAGCAAGGTAGACATTGGCTTAAGAGTACTTGCTTACTTACTAAGCCATAGTGAATAATGTCACGGTTTTCATCACATCAGCTGCTGCTAAGTCCACACTGCTGACATTCTAGTTATCGGTGCTTAATCTTTGTATCTCCAGGGTTCTTATATGGATGATAGAAGGGAAAGTCAGCAAGTAACTATGACGGCGGGAGTAGAGAAAGGCATGAAAGGTGAGCACTGCTCCCCAAGAGGAGGAAGAAGTAAACCCAAGGAGTGTGACTTGTAAGTGAAGAAAGAGAATCCAATCTTTCCAAGAGGGACATTGTCCAGATATGAGACTGAGTTGTTGTTGTTGTTAGTGCCGTCAAGTCATATACGACTCATAGCAACCCTATGAACAAAAGAGCTGAACACTTGTATAGCTTTGGTCATTTCTCTATGTTCATAGAGTTTCCAGAGGCAGGCTATTTCAGAAGTGAATTCCACTACTGCTTCCAAGCTTGTTTTAATTTGGAAGCTCCACCAAACACTGTCCACCATGGGTAACCATTATCACATTTGGCACATCAGGGTCACAGTGTTCAGCTTCACAGCAACCACGAGTTACCTCTGTACAGCAAGTGGACACACCAGGGCTAGACCACTTAGAAGAATGTTTGACAAAAACAGTTTCAATCAGGCCTGAGGGCCACAGATTAAAATCATCCACCTTGGGCTTGGTAACATAACTTTCCGTCTGCTGAGTGCACCAGTTTCTTTTCACAACTTCAAAGGATATGCAATGGTCCTTTTACATGTCTCTTTATCACATACAGAGACGTACCCCTAGATACACACACTTCTCAACTTCTTTGCACTTTAAAGCATGTTAAATGAACATTCTTGTTATTTTTCTTTGATACGAAAACTATCCATGATTGAACACAAAATTCAGTAGGACACTGGGAGGTAGTAATCCTCTAGAACTCAACTTACACCTTTCTTCTCAAATAGTTCTATCTCAACACTATCTAACTGTTCAAACTCTCACCCACGCAGCCTCCAGACCATTACAATAGTGAGTGGTGGCAGCAGAACCAGTGACTGTCGTTACAGTGTGACTCGGGAGCTACATGGCAGTTGGTGATGATGGTGCTGGTGGTATCCTACCTGATGGTGTTGAATGGGCAGCAGATACAGGAGAGGTAAGAGTTGACATGACAGCCGGCAGCACTGGAATAAAGAAACACCTGTTAAAAGTAAGCAACTGCTCATAGTAACTTCGGAGAGGTGTGGCCACGCAGAGGAGTCCCTGAGATTTTCCAAGATGAAATTTTGCCTCAGATCTGAAGTAGCTACTACCTCTTCAAATTAAGGAAATACTCAGTCCTTGTTTGGCCACCCACCCCAAGTCCTGGTAGACTCCACCATCCCCAGCTTGTCTTTCTACCAGACTCAATGTACAAGTGCAGACTGTGGCTCCTTTGTAACCAGAATGAAGGAGTGTTGGTGTCATGCAGGAAGACCTCGGAGACGCGATGGCCTCAGTGCCGGGTCACTGCAGTAAAGTGCTTATTGTCCCAGAGAGAGACTGGGAGCTGAGGCACGAGGAGGATTCCAGCTTGAAGAATCACTAAGGGACATAGTTTCTATCAGATCAGAAAAGCTGATAGTTTTTATGATGCACTTTTCTCCTGTGTTTAGGTGGACACTTAGAGCTTCCCCAACAGAAAAAGCACAAACATGTTCTCTTACCTGATAATATGGTCGCTGAATTTCCATTACCTATTGGTACAAACATACATTTTTATTTATTTGTATTGTCAAGGACTGCAGCCTACAATATGGACTGAGGCTCAATGTCAAGAAGACAAAGATTCTCACCACTGGACCAATTGGCAGCATCAGGATGGATGGTGAAGAGACTGAGATTGTGCACAGCTTTAGTTTGCTTGACTCCATAGTCAACAGTCTTGGCACCAGCAGCCAGGAAATTAAAAGGTGCATTGCCATGGAAAAATCTGCTGTTAGGGACCTCTCCAAAGTGCTGAAGAGGAATGGTGTCTCTCTGGAGACTAAGGTGCGTCTGATACAGGCCATGGTTTTTGCAATCACTTGTTATGCATCAGAGAGTTGGACAATGACCAAGGAGGATAGAAGGAGAATTGATGCCTTTGAGCTGTGGTGCTGGAGAAGAGTATTAAGAATACCATGGACTGCTAGGAAAACAAACAGATTTGTCCTGGAAAGGGTTAAACCGGGTGACTCCTTGGAGGCAAGGATTCTGAGGCTCCGTCTAACTTACTTTGGACATGTTGTGAGGAAAGACCGGTCCTTAGAGAGGGACATCATGCTTGGGAGGGTGGAGGGACAGCGCAGGAGAGGAAGGCCCTCTATGAGGTGGATTGATTCAGTGACTGGGATAATTGGGATGGGAGTGTCAGAGACAGTGCGATTGGCACAGGACAGAGCGGAGTTTAGGGCTGTTGTACATAGGGTCGCTATGAGTCGCAGGCGACTCGACGGCACATAACAACCACAACATTAGTACAAACACATTGAAAAATTTCTTGTACAAATAAATTGGATGACTTTTATTTTGCCTACTTATTGATTTTCAACAACTTTTTAAAACTAATACAGGTCTAAAATGTGAAATTTTAAATGTGGTGAATCATATATGGCTGTTTGGTCAGAATAAACCAAAGACAATCAAAGGCCTTGCAGTCAAGTCAGTTACCACTCACGGTGACCCCACTTGTGTAAGGAAAGCTGTCCGCCTGTGATGCTTCAGTTCACCTGTGATTTTTCTGTGCGGCACCAAACAAAGCCGTGGAGTGACAGGATACCCAATGAAGATAGCAACTCCTGCATGTGCTATCCGCATGGCCTTGGGCAAATTGTTGAACTTTTATGTGCTTGGATTATTCTAAGTACTCAATACAGTTGACCCTAACTATCTTTCCAAAAGTTCATTTTATCCAAGTGGAACACTGGTAAGCCAGTGGTTTAATTTCCTTTTGTAAAAAGTATTAGTGACTTGTCAAGGTCATTCTAAGTAAGTGACAGAGATGGAACTTAAACTTTGATTTATCATGAAATTTATCCATTTTATCCCATTCCAAAGTTCAGTCTTAGATACTAAACCACCCTGTCTTGAACACTTCTTTGTTGGATTTACTAATTCCAATACTCACTGGCTTCGAACTACACCAGCAGGTGGACCATTCAAGCACAAAACATGTATCTTATTCACCTTTCTCAACAAAACCCTATTTTAAACACAAGGACAATTTAACAAAGTAACGACCAACACTGTATGTCCTATGTGAAGCCTGCCTGGGGGCCTCAGAAGTGACTGTCAGTGCCCTCTGGAGGGAAAAGGGTTGAGAATTCAGTGACTTAGAATGAGTGAGAAACAGCTAAGGACTGTTGGGCCAGTATCCTAACTCTCGTACACCGAGCCCCACCCTAGTGGAGAAGAACCTGTAATAGACAGCGTGTCAGCTGGAAGAATAACTCACCCTGTAGGCACCGTGGTAGGAGCAAGGCTTTGAAACTACCAACCCCCGAGAATAACTCCCATGACTGAAATTAAATAAAGCTAATTCTTGTGGTCGGAAGAAAGTGGCCCAACAGCATTTCCACCCCACTGGTGGGATCATCTAAATGGCCCAGGAATGCAGAACGGAAAACAACGAGCACCGTATATGGTAGTCTGGTCCCTCCCACCGCTGATCCCATTTCTCTCTCTATTATCTACCTTTTAGCCGCCCACATAGCACGTAGAATAAAAGATGTCAGGTTGAGAAAGCAAAAGCATGAACTTACCCAGTGCGGGTTTGACATGCTCAGGCCTCTCTGTGAACACGTGGGAAAAGAAAAGATCTGCTTTAATAAAGGGTGATTGTTTCCTGATATGCTGTAATTAAAGATCATATATCAAATGAAATAGGATTCCCCCAAACTAAAAATGCTGATCCTCCTCGCCTTAGCTCAGATGACTTGAATCATCAGGCGTATAAATGTTAGCACTCAAATCAACCCAAAATACAGTGACATTGACCTGACGGCAGTGGTGGGTCAGGCTGAAGTGGAGAAAGTGTCATCTGGACTGTTGGGAGTGAGTACTAGTTGTCCATAGTGTTGTGCCTAGTCACCTTCACCTGAACCCACAGTCAACAAGACAAAGCCTGGACAATGGCATTGAACATGACAGAGATGGCGATGGTTTAGGGTAAGGGCAAGGTTCAGAGTTCTTGTTCATACGGATGCTGTGAGTCAGTCACCTCGTCAGCACCCAGCACCAACAGTCCTGTAACTCAGAAACTCCTCGTTTCTTCACCTTCATTGAAGTATACACTTTCAGAGAGAAAAACTTCATCTCTGGGTTCATCACAGGGTAGTGGGAAGGAGGACACACTCAGAGGGCATTTGAGGTTCCCACTGACTGGACTCTTTCCTCTAGTTGTTTAGAAACCCACACCCTGTGAAGGATCCACCATTTCCCCCACAATTTTCCTCTGTATTAAATGCATTTCAGCATCACATGGCCAATAAATCCCTACTATCGAGCCAAAAAGCTCTCGAATGTGTCTGCTTTTGTGTCCTACATGTGGGCAGTGGTGGTCAGTGATTGCATCGGAGCTTTGCTGAGAGGATTGGTGGAGACACGATCTAAGCACAATGGGATGTGTATGGTGGAGGGGAGGTAACTCTTACCTGCACAGACAATGCTGGCATCTTCCCCAGGACCACAGTTATGGATGAACCAACCTGCATGAGGGCACTGTCCCAGAAAACTCTCTCTTCCTGTACAGTCCACATCGTCCAGCAGAAACTTGCCTGAACCTTCACCAAACTGGGCCCCCACAGGCGCTGCGAGGGCGCGCCCACAGCCCAGCTGCCGGCACACCACGTCTGCTTCGTTCATGTCCCAGTGGTCATCACAAACCCTGCCCCACTGGCCGTGATAGAAGACTTCCACACGCCCGGAACATTGGCTTGACCCATTCACAAGTTGTAATTGTGGCCAGTCTTTTGAAGACACAGAAAAGGGACATATTCTGTATCAAACCTGTTTGTTTAACTATCCAACAAATACTTCTTGAACATACACTATGTTAACAGTAGATAGTATGGTACATCCTGAGGTTTATAGGACAGATGTGATTGTTGCTGTCACAGAGGAACAGTCTCACTGGAGGAGACAGTCACATTAATTCAATGTGAGTGCAAATTTACAAGCACATGGAAGATGACATATCAGAGGGGGAAAGGTATATAACATCTTCATAGAGCACAATTTGGGAGAGTGAAGTTGGGTCTGAGACTTGGAAAAAGGATAGAAAGTTTAGTAGATAAAGAGGAATGGGGAGGAGCAGAGAGCTTTATGGTCAAAGGGAAGAGTATGCACAGAGGTCCCAGGACAGCAAGGAGCAAGGACCTTTTGAGAACTTAAAGAAAACCAGTGTTAGAAAGGCTTGTTTGGAAAGCAAGGCCAGCACATATCACTGGGGAGGGAATCAGTGGTCTGTGTCTAAACATAGACACTTTTTTTAAAAAATTTTTGTGTGTGTGTACCGTCAAATCAGATCTGACTGGTACAGGAGGAGATTGTCCCTCCTTTCCCGGCAAAGCATCTGGTGGATTCGAACCGTGTGCCTCTGGGATTGTAGTTGCAGCTCCTTGCCACTAGGCCACCAGAGCTCCCCAAAACTTAGACACTTTTAAGGTGAAAGAAGTTGCTGATCATAGTTACATGGGTGTTGCTAACAGTGAAATATTTTGGAAGAGAATAATGAAAATGGTGACACAACACGCAGCCTGTAAGTGATACCACTGGATTGAAAACGGGAGAATTGTGTTGGGGAAAAGTTTTGTTGTGCATATTTTCACCAAAAAGAAAAAAATTAGTAAAAAAACCTCCGAGGTGTTACCATATTTTTACACAAATAATGTGCAGGAGATCAAGGGCCTACTGAAAGAAGGACTGGTTAGGAAGGCCTCTGTCTTACTGGGTTTGCCACAAATTGCGCTTCTACATTAGAACTAGTGCTTCTAAAATAGATGTGAAGTTCCCTGTGGTTAAGAACCACTTGCTATCACAGCCTCTGGGATACTTAATTGTTTTCTAGGGGGACACATGGTTTGGGACTTCCAATCTAACATAGAGTTTGAGACTGCTAGGTTGGTGGTTCAAAACTACCCAAGAGTGCTGCATAAGGAAACTTGACAGTTTGCTTCTGTAAAGTAAAGGACATCCCCAGGGGATGTTCTACCCTGTAACACAAGAGTCACCACGAGCAGAAATCAACTTGATGGCAACAGGTGTGGCTTGGTTTGGGGTTAGGACACATATTGGCTCAGTCACTATTTCTTGGTGAACTCACAATACCTTGCATCTTTAAGCAGTAAAATAGAAAAACCCAGAAAATGTTAAATGAACAAAAGCGGTTGCGAATGAACCAGAAGTCTAACCGTCATAATGTACCACTGTTAAGCAAATATTAAAATATTATTTTACATCTTTCAGAGGAGCACAGAATCCTCTTGTACCGGTCAGATCTGATATGATGGTACATGCACAAAAAATAATAAAACTTAAAAAAATATTATTTTACATCTTTCAGTCCCTCTACACACTTCTCAGAAGAGTGCTTAAAATAGATTCTCAAAAACTATTCAAGACCTGAGTGTTCCTCTTCTGGGATTAGTGAGTCACCTCCCTTACACCTCTGAGTCCACTCACGTCGCCTCCACATGGTCTACACACAGTCTGCAGGGTGGTTGTTGATTCCATTGGGGTGAGTCCAACTCATAATGAGTTAATTCAAATTTACACGTGTGGAGTAGAACCGCCCTGTGGGCTTTTCAAGATTGTGACTTGTTGGAAGTAGATCCCCTGGTCTGTCTTCCAAGGCACCTGTGGTGTTAACTTAAAAGTTGGCTTTTCAAGCCATTAAATTAGCCCCTGCTGGCCTCCAGCTACCTTAACTGCAGACACATGGTCTTGCAAATCATCAACAGCTGTGCGACTGGGGGGTGTGGGGAGGGGGAAGGAGGGAGAGTGAGAAAGAGAGAGACAGAGAGAAGGAGAGAGACAGAAAAGGAGAGAAACAGAGAGAGAGCTTCCAACACTGAGCAGCAAGACCTGAGGGAGAATGGAGCAAGACTGGTGAGAACGTGATCCTGGTGATGGTGGTAGAGAGACTGTGACACTGTTGTGCAGAGACTGTGGCAAGGTAAAACCAGAGGAGACTGAGATAAAGGCCACAGTTAAAGGTATTGCTCTTCTTGTCACATGATGGCAGAAACCTAAACTTTTACTAATTAAGGAATTGTGACTGTCAAGTCTCTTTATGCAGCACTCTTGGGTGGTTAAGGAAAGGTGATTTGCTGTTAATCTGGTTTGGGACTACTGGCCTCAACCTGGATTTGCATTGAGTGATATTCTTTGCCTCCTCCACTTTCCAACCTACTTCCCTAATAAACCCCACTCTTGGTACCACAGTCTGAGTCAATAATGAAGAAACCAACCTCTTGCTGCTGGTGCCTCTAGAGGCTCCCTGGGGCTGGGCTCTGGGCTCTGCATCTGCTTTCTGCTGTGGGGCGGTGAGAGGTTGTGCTCATCTCACTCTCTGACCCTTTCAGAGCGATGCTCATGGCCCTGTGTCCCCATGTCTCATTTTCTGCCCTTTAGACAACACCTCTGAGTAGGTTTGGACCAACAGCCTTTACACTAATGGTCAAAAGGTAAGCTGTTTTGTACCACCCAGGATATTCACCCACTCAAGTTGATATTCCTAAATTCTTTTTAGGCATGGGGCCTGCCTACTCAACAACCTTCAAGATTTTCATGTGTTTCTAACTTGAATTGTGTTAATGCAATAAACATTTATGGAGAGCAAATATATAATAATATTATATATAATGTTTTATATATTTATATATATGTAAAAAAAAGCAGGAGCAGCATCCACTTCCATAAATAGCTTGCCTGCAGAAACCCTATGAACCTGGAGAAAGGATGAAAGTCACACACACAAGTGTTGAAGGACTTTCACTCATAGAGTCGTTATGAGTCGCCTATGACTTGACGGCACTTAACAGCAGCAACACTATATATAATAAGCCTGCTTCTAGGTGACACAAGATATGGAAAAAAGAGGGAATTTATTACAATCTCTTTGACAGTTCAAATACCTTAGCCTGACACTAATTTTCCGGTCTGACTCAGAAAATAAGAACTTACAAACTAATTCCCAAACACGTTTTAAATCTTTTTTTTAAAGTTCAAATTGAGTTTTACAAGACTTTCTTCACACATCCTTCTTAGGTTAGCAGGAAGATCAAGTAGAAGCTTCAAAACAACTCCATGAAGGCCCCAAACAGGGGTGGACCAAGCCCCAAGGACTCTGAGGGTGCGGCTCCGGTTCTTTATACATACAGCATGGGGCTGGCACCTTGGATGCTTGCCTCCTTTCCCATTTCACTTCTCAAAATGGTCTGTCTCAAATGACCTCTCTTCATGAAGAGGTCTCTGGTCATCCAACAGGTGTGTTCCCTCTTCTAAGCTTCCGCTGCATTTAATGTCTATTCCTTCTCTAGAACTAATCATATTCATCCCATTTTGAGCTATTTTGTGCAGCTTCTATTTCTCCCTTTAAATCCTAAACACCATTACCTTGCCTCCCCGTAGTGCCCAATAAGAACCCAACACACAGTTACAAACAGCTGTTGACCGATGTGTGCTGCCTTTGATGCTCTCCACTGAATTGAGAGGGAACCACAATTTCTGAGTGAGGTGGGTGCATGGGATTTCCTGGCGAAGTAATTTCATTTGCAACTTTTGTATGGTTGATGATCTACCCACCACTCAAAAGCTTGTGGTTTGTGAAACCAAATCTAATAGATGTCAGAACAATTTGACTTACCCCCTGGAAATGGTGTTAGCATTTCAGCGCCTAAGAGCAGAAGGAAGGAGACGAGACGTCAATTGTCTTGTGAGATCGTCTGCCCAAGTTCATCGTGGGCAGGACAGCACATGAGTGGTGTCCTCAGGAAGCAGACATTGAGCTAAGGAAACTTATCTGCAGTGTTTACCCTCCCTCATCAACAGCAAGTAAGGAGACTAATAATGTGCTTGGGGAACTTGGACTCATGCACAGCTTGTTTGTTTAAATTGGGCTGTTTGAGTGAACAAACACCTGCTGCCAGAAAAGTAGAAAGGTGAATAATCAAGTGCAAGAAACGTGTATTCCTGCAAACAACAAATGCTGGTGAGGTTGTGGAGAAATTAGAACCCTTGTTCACTATAGGTGGGAGTGTAAAATGGTGCAGTCACTATGGAAGGCTGGATGGCGCTTTCTCAAAAAGTTGCAAATAGAAATACCATTTGACCCAGCA